TGGTGATGAGTGTGTAAGGTTTTACGCCGCTTTTAGCAATAATCAAGCAATATCACGGCGGGGGACACCAGAAATGGGCTTCATACATTGTGCCCGTAAGGGGAATCCAACCCGGGTTTTGGCGGAGTGACGAGTGAACGCATTAATCACAAGGCTTTCCCACCACCTCGACGTTGATGACGGCGCAGTTCATGTTCTATATTTCTCTACATACTTGTTTTGAAAGCTGATTCTTGCTCGGACAAATATATGGATTTTAGTCCAAAAGCATTAACTGAGTGAACTGTCTGTCAATATTACATACAAATAATATATTTAATAACTTTACAAAACTAATGATAATGCTACGTGGAGGAATACAGTCCAGGTCTTCATGATTACCCCTCCATAAAAAGGTTATCAGAACAAAAGGGGTTTTAATATATCGTTACATATGACGAGTTACCTGTCCTTAAAACTAGTGGCCAGTAGATATATACTGGTCTGTAAATATATTATTACCTGTGAATATAGTGGCCTGTAAATGTATGATGCCTGTAAATCCAGTGGCCTGTTTATATCTAATTGCCTGTATACCCTAGTGGACTGTAAAGATATAGTGGCCTGTAAATCTAGTGGCCTGTAAATATATAGTAGCCTGTAAATCTAGTGGCCTGTACATGTATGATTGCCTGTAAATCTAGTGGCCTGTAAGTATATTATTGCCTGTAAATCTAGTGGCCTGTAAATGTATAATTGCCTGTAAATCTAGTGGCCTGTAAATGTATAATTGCTTGTAAATCTAGTGCCCTGTAAATCTATAATTGCCTGTAAATCTAGTGGCCTGTAAATGTGTTTGTTTGACTAGGGAAACCAGTGACTGAAAGCATGAGCAAAGATCAACGCCACGGGATCATGTACTGATACGGGCATCAAACTGATGCGTCTGGGTCGTCTCTTGTGATACGTGTTGAGTACTGGGGACATGATTACTACTAATGAGGTGACAAGGGATGAGATGTTCTGTTCATCTCTGGTTAACAAATATAGTTTGAAATACCAGGACTGGATGTTATATACTGTTTGGGCTACATTGTTGTTAAACGCCGCACTCAGTAGTATCCCGGCTATGTGACGATGGTTGGTATATAATCGAGCTTGGACCATACAATCAAGTGACTGACGTCATGAGCTTCGATCGACGCAATTAGGAATCAGTGGCGAGGTGTGTCTAGATTATTTAGACGATTATGTAACTTAGATCCATTCCGTATAACAAGTAAAGTTTTTGTTCGGAGTAATGTTTCTGCTGTTTTAAGGAAACGGAATTGGAATTTTAGAGTGCACGTTAAATTTTCTGATCTTGGTCTCCACCATTTTAATAACATACACGTTAACTATCATATTCCCTTTGTCGTTTCGGAAGTGACACGTAAATTATTTGATCGTTTTAACTCTTCTTGGAAAAATTCTATTTCAAATGTAAATGGTACAACGAGCAATGCAGGTAATAAGTTAAGAACTTATGCTACCTTTAAAGATGAATATCATCCCGAATTTTATTTATTTAGCAACAGGCCTCTCTCTTATAGACGTGCTTTAGCATTTTTAGATGTGGTATTGCTCCTCTAAGAGTTGAAACTGGACGTTATAATTGTACTCCTCTAAAGGAAAGAACATGTTTTTACTGTAAAGATTTTATTGAAGATGAGTGTCATGTTTTACTGCATTGTCCACTGTATTCTTTTGAAAGAGGTGTCCTTTTTAGTAAATGTGAGCAGATTATTGTTAGTTTTATGTCTTTTAGTGACTTTGATAAGATCAGATATTTACTGTCCAATCCACAAGTGTCTTTTAATACAGCCAAAACCTGCTGTCTTATCTTGCGGCGACGACATGCTCTTTTATACTCTTAACTTGGTATTGGAAATATGTGTTATATACCCTATATTTTTCTAGTTTTGTATTTTATGTTATGTAGTCTCTCATAAGTCTGTAAACTTCGGCTCAACGTTTTATTATTCCCTTCTATGTACATTTGTATGATGTTGAGGTGAGACTCAAATAAATTATCTGTCTGTCGGTCTGTCTGTCTGGGAAACTTGCGTCAACCAAATCAGAGAGCCTGACCAAACGATTCCCGCTTGTCGCCTGTTATGGCAGGAATAGCTTGTTCAAGATTAATTCCAACCCGGGCCATCGCAGAACTGTTACATACTGATGAAAGATGACGAAAAGCCTTGAAACAAAAAGTAAATGTAACTGTTATTTTCAGATTAATTAATAATATAAAAAATACATGGGTATGGTGCATCCTTCATATGTCCGTTGCCTAAGTTTTATCAACAATACATTTTAGCTGTAAAATCGTAGGATCATTTGTGTATTTTGGGCTAAGGTCAAATAAACATCTTGATTGTCTTCACTTTTTAAATGAAATATCTGAAGGTGGGTTGAAATATTTGATCCTGTTTTCCAACCTTATCTCTAAATCAAAACAACACAATGTGTATATAAAAAATCAAGTTCTGCAAATGACGAACATCGTGTCCAGAACAGGTTAAATGGAAAACGTCTGGGTGGAATACGGAACCAAAAGTGAGGAAAATGTAGCCTGGGAAATAATGCTGAGTCATTCCCTATCATCAGCGTGTTTCTCAACGTACGCTGTGCTAAAGTGAAGAAGAAGAAGAAAACGAAGAAGAAGAGAATTATTTTTTTTATTTATGTGTCACATGCTGATAAAAGACAGACCATACACATACCATTAAGACAGCTTTGTTTTGTGTTGGTTACGACGACCTTTAGCGTTAGGTGTGCTAAAGGTGCTGTCAGGCCTGTCGTGGACTTTCATACAATGATAAAAATGTCAGCATCCAGCCATCAGGCTTATGAGACACAATAATTCAGTTTAAATACATTAAGATACGCATACATAATAAATAGTTTAACATAATAAATAGCAACATACCATACTTCATACCCTCAGAATCACCTCCAAAGTAATGTATACTACAGTTTTAACAACAGTTACGTGAGTTGTAAGTAGTGCCTCGTACGTCAATTTTATTGTCAATATATTTCTTAGCCTGCGTTCTTCCATTCAATGATGTTGTAATTGTTTGTACACGTACGAGAATGAAACTAGATCTGTAAGGTATTGTTATGTTTCTCGCAAACGATAATGTTTGCTTCATTTAGCCAATGACTGAAGCTCAATCCAAGGTCACTTCACCTGTCAACTCACAAATGAGTTTTACATTCACAAGGCCGGCACAATTTAAAGAATAAACATAAAAGCAAGTTATACACATATAACAATTAATAGTAATAATTTCAATTCCAAGCGGGCAAGACAACACAATTTATTTCAGAGGGGGGTCAGCGTTGAAATGTAAATACGTTTAGACCAAAATAAAAATCCTCTTACTTCGGCGCCGTCTTGACCTGGGATCACTTCATAAAAAGTAAAGACAAAACAACTGCCCTTCGGTAAACAGCAGGTATACAAACAAGCGACCCCCTCCCTTTATCCCCTAAGTAGGTTAATGAACACAACAATATGATAAAGTTAATTGATAAACACACTAATTAAAAAGTCGATCAAGTGATCTTTAGTCATTGGAATGTAGCGTCTATACTGCTGACTGGAATCACAATAGCCGAGTCGAGCCATGCGTTTAAGTAATAGTTAGCAAACTGTGACGGATCGTTGAGCGATTACCTGAAGGAATTAGCCTGAGGTTGGGGAATTGTTGCAGCGACTTATGCAAACTTCCAAAGGGACAATTACATCAACAGTAATCACAAGGAATGAGAGGAACATAGTTGACCAACTTTTTAATAAACACAAAATTGAATTTCCCGTTAAATTAAATAAAGTAACAAACGAGGGTAATTAATGTGATATGAAATTAATGGTTTTGTTTCGATTATGAAAACTGTCAGTATCAATTTAAACGGAAAGCAAGAGTTGCATGACGTCACCGTGCGTTATCTCTTTTTATACCATACGCGACCTATATTCACTCTACGGGACGACCAGTGACGGGAGATGAACAATTATACCATGAAGTGCTACAGATATAACACAGCACATAGACTCTCGCTTAGTCTCTGAATATACATTATTTTGATAGTAACAAATAACACATTTAAATTGAAAAGGAGCCACAGTGAGAGTTTGGTGATTCAGAACCTGAGGAACTCTAGACTTGTTTCAGTTAAGGCTTTAGCATTGCAGAGAGGACTAGGCAGTAGGGAAAATAATGCCGTTCAGGGACTTTGAGACAGACTACATAGCACACACAAGTCCAAAACCACAATGGTTCTGTCTCAAATATTATTCTTTATACAGGAAAATAGTAAATAGCTACTCAGGTATAATGTTTTGATAATGTTTAGACGTTTGGTGGTCAGTTCTTTTGCAAATTTATAGATTTTTGACCACTTATAATTCTGTGTATTGGATGGAGATTTACAACGGTGGCGAAATGTTATTTCATGTGAAACAATTGAGTAAAATCAACAAACATTTCACAGAAAAACGCTGAAATCGTAATGTAAACTACGAAATGGCGAGGAGTCATTAGTTAGACGTTGTTCCGCTAATGAAAACAGGGACAGCTGAAAATGACACCAGAACGGCGATCACTACAGACTGAAAGTCACCTATTGATCAACCGTTAATCAAGTTCTATCATCTACACGCGGTACTATTATCTTTTCAAGCTGGCCTTTCTGCCCCTATCTCGACCACAATAGAACAAAGGCAGGCGACGCCTGATACCCATCTACTACCATCACCACAACCACCAACATTACATGTGTTCCTAGAGAATGATAACTTCGCTTATCTAAACATCTTTTTTTAATAAAACCGGTCTGGGATTTAACCGTCGTCTGTATGTCGCTTGAAGTCATTCATTTCCCTCTCACAATAACAGGCGCGAGACAGCGGCCGCATCTGACAGCTCGTTTGCGTGTCTGGCGCGCTCATTGTCAGACAAGTTGGCGCCGAATCGGTCGTCTGGCTGTCTGGCGCGCCGGCGACCACGAGCGGAGCTCGCCTATTTATCTAACCCGAATGGCGCCGCATGCAGAGTCGAGCCCAACTCACTTCGATTTTCGGCTTGAAGCATATCAGATAAACGCTTCGAGGTCGGCGATAGTTGACAAGGGTCTGGAGAAAGGAATAAAATTTCATTCAGACGGGACTTGGATCACATCTAAACAAGTTGCCAGCGACAGTGTGCTGTGCAACGATCTATATATTCAGTGTCGCTGGCAAGTCCATATCGCTCCAGTCCGTTCCAAGAGATACTCCGGGATATTTACTTGTGACGATCCACATCAGGATATTCTATATACTGGTAAGTACAACCGCGAAGAAGACCTCCAATCTGTCGCTTCATCTTATCTCTAGCGCCATGCTCCGTGTACGTGAAACAAAACTCTATCACTTATATGTCACTGGATATAGATATATGACAGTTTTATTCGGTTCCCTTCTAACATGTATTGATATATGCTAAAATAGGTTAACAGTGAAAGAATAGCTTCAGATTCCTACATGTATTGTTTACATACATTCAGTCAAAATTCAAATCAGTCATGTTTTATTCACCGAACGACTTATGCATTGGGTATTATAAACGTAGTGGAACCATGTATATAGAGATAATATGTGAGCTGACTTGTTGCATTCCAACTATCTGTCCGGGTGTTGCATCACAGTTTAAAATTGATCGATGCAACGAGCGCCAACGTTTTATCGGTTTTACCACGCTTGTTCGCTTCCTACTTTTTTACCACTTTAACTGAAAAAAGCAACTGGATTTTGTTGATATTCATCACTTTCTCGGATTGAATTTCATTTACATGATCGACAAGTGTCCTGCCAAACCGACTTGTCTGTTTGTATGCGAAAAGAGTTAAGATAATATTTGCTGTTTGCCAGTTCGTGAATATATGGCGGTATAAAGTATTATATCAGCTCCAAGAAAACAAAACATGTATCTGTATTGAATTATTTGTCCTGACAAATGTCATCGTTTACTCACTCTCGCAGATCCTGGTTCTCCGTGATAGGTCAGATTCTTATCTATCAAAGATGACAAATGTGTAAACGTTTAATCGTGAAAAACGTATATCAGAAATGTAATTTAAAGGCAATCAAACTGGTTCATCAGTTAAATATAGGATGATATGTGTCAATATTGGTGTACATTCTTGATCGTATAGGACATGGCATCAGACATTCAGTACCGATTTGTTCCCAGCGAGCTTTCTGACAAAGCTCAAGGCCTGTCTCTCAAATGTCTATTTCTACTCGGAGTTACTTCCGCACGCCCGAGACACCTGCTCAGGATAACAAAGAAACCCCTAGGGACAATCCCTGCAGGGTAGCGGGTTAACAAATGGGGGTAGGGACAGACGCGTGTAGCGGTGGATATAACGTATCCCCACCATGGGGGTATATCAAACGATCTCAGAAAATTGAATCTGTGTGATTTATTTTTACGCCTCCCTCACCTTCGTTGAAAGGTGATGTTTTGTATTGAAAACAGGTTGCTGTTCGTGCATTTAAACAGACATTGGTTGATATAGTTCTTAGATTCTACCTAACATTTCGTGAATCTAAACAGATTCTGACTGGCACGTTTCGTTTATTGAACCCGATTCTGGTTGATCAGTTTCGATTATTTCACCCTAATGTGATGGGTACATATTGAGTATTTAATCTAATGTGTGAGTGAGTTTAGTTTTACGCCGCTTTAGCAATATTCCAGCAATTTCACAGCGGGGGACACCAGAAATGGGCTTCACACGTACCCATGTGGGGAATTGAACCCGGATCTTCGGCGCGACAAGCGAACGCGTTAACCGCTAGGCTATCCAACCGCCCCATTTAATCCAGTACGGTTGATCAGATCATAATTTTATGTAATCAGTTACACAAAGCGCCTGTCGTATGGTTACGCGTATGCTATTGATCGGCAAAGTGTCGCAGGTCAGAATAGCCCGTAAAGTTCATACTACTGGCTCCTTTAAATTTATGCGAAAGGAGACCTAGCAACAAAGGGACTTAACCCACTCTGTTGGTTCACATCGCAATTCTGTTCGGATTGATATACATATAATGAATTTGTATGAATGTAATTCACTTTGACCTGACTGCGCGTGGCTTACATCATCGATGTGAAGAATAATAACTACATTATTCGTAAGATGTCACTAGGACCCAACGAAAAACGGATTCGTCTTTGCAGGATATGTGTTATGTAACCTCATTTATACCACACAACATGATATTTTTGTTATGAAAACAATGAATACACTTGTATGACTCCATCAGCTCTTAATATTATTTTTCTTTCAATTCGCAGACTCACTGTCACCAGGCGAGACTAAACCGTTGCCTGAAATCTATTAAAGGTGCTCGGTGCTATGTGGGATATTTAGTGGAATCTTCACATTATTGAGATGATATCGGACGCGATAGCCGGCGTGTGCCAGACAGTCTGCAACTCCATCCCGAGTGACGTGGTTTATCCTGGCGCCAATACTCAAGCGAACCACGAACAGCGTTCCCCAAGCTCTAGCCAAGAACTATCGTTGAAGAAGACGCCCATGAGGTCCGGGGCTAAGGAATCTGATAGTAGCAGTGAATCAAAAACATCAGATCTGTTTCCTGACGAGAGTATACTCGGAAACGACTTTAAGAGTTGTGAGGACAATCTCATGCTGTTTGCCGAGATTCTGTACAAGTGTACCCTGTGCACCAGCCTGCCATCAATATTGACTTCAAAAGGCAGTTTCCTAGCTCATGTCACCAGTCAACATCTGACGAAACAGGCAAGCTTTCAAGATTGTAGCCAGTGTGACTTGAAATTCGGCACTGATGAAGATCTACGTTCTCACATTGATTGCTCTCACGCTATGCTCCGTGGGGAGAGGGTAGAGGCAGACAAACTCTCCGACACGGAGTCTGTGGACGACCCTGCAACGCCGTCTTCAGGCATGGAGGAGCGACTGTCGACTCCCAGACCGCCGTTGTATGTTGCAAGCCCGAGCAACAAACCTAGATTAGAATCCCCGAACCAAAACAAAAGGACTTTCCATGCAACAAGTATCAGCTTGTGAAACAGACTGCTCCAGTGGTAAAGGTGAATGACCTTCCTAAAAGTGAAAACATTTCCAAAATCCAGAAACTCACCGATCAGATCGTTCAAGCCCAAACCCCGGAAGTCAAGCCAATTTGTTGCAATCGTGGTCGTCCATGTCCAGTTTTACGCCCGAGTTTGGACGATATACAAAGCTTGTGAGAGAAGGTGGGAACATTGTATACTTCTGTCAGGTGTGTAATTGGAAATGTCAAGTGAAAGCTGCATTTCAAGCTCACTGCAATGGTCCCCATCACAATAACAAGGTCAGAATAGCAGACCAGAATAATCCACATCGTAAAAGAGGCTCTTCATCTAATGTTCCCACGTCTAACTCACCTGGTCTAGCTGGTGGATCACCTAGTCATTGTAGATCTCCCACAGGACTGCTGACATTCGCAAACAAGCCAGAGGTGGAATCGTTTAGAGCGGACACTCCTTGTGATAGCCAGAATGGCGGTACTATGGACATGAAAAGATCGGAAGGCGTGCCTGTACCTTCCCACGTGTCGGGTAATGGAGTACATGTGGGTCCAGGCATGTCTGATATGCCATTCCTACAGGGCCTGTTGTCGAGTCACAGAACAGACGAAAAGAGGGAGTTGGGCTCTAACTTTGTTTTCCAGAAACGATGGGAGAATGATGCTTCTCGTGAAAACAATTGTCAAGATTCGCAGTTTGAGAAGACAACCAGAGCCCTTTCACCTATTATAACGAATCCCGGCAGCGGAGAGCACTCCCCAACAGAGAAAGACTCCAGTTCAACGCCAAGGAACAAGAGAAAGAGACCAGCTCCTGTGTGTCTTCGAAATCAGATAGGATCTGGAAACAGTTGGTCTGATTCCGATTCCGATGAATGTACAGACAGAGGGAAGACCTGTGAATCTAGTTCCGACTCCGATCAACCAGACGCCAAAAAGCCAAAACATGCTGAGTCCTCGCCGGTCCTTAGGGATGACTTTCATAGCCGACTGATGAAGAAAGCTTTGTCTGGTCATGCACATGTTGAAAAAACAGTGGGGAACTCTCAACCTCTTGGTCATTCAGAGCACATGACACCGTATTTTCAAAATTCATTCAGGAATAGGCTATTTGCGAGTGCATTTGGTGCTAGCTTTGGACCTATGTATGGGTGGTTTGGACAACCCAATCCTCTGTTTCAATCACCAATGTGTTCCAATGATGAAACTGTGTCCAGGGAGAAAGCCTCCATTGACCACCCCTATGACAATCTTGTTCATTATGGATCCAAATTATTCCAAAACTGTTTCACCCCATTCAATTACACTGGTAAGCATCGCCAGGTAAGCGAAGCTCTTGCTTCACGCCATGACACTCGCCCACAAAGTGACACTTCCGATAAGGGGGACAACTCTCCCAAATCGGACGACACATCTTGTGACAGGACGGTGTTTAAGCGGGAACCGACAGATAGTGATGAAGCAGTGTTTCGTTGTTCAATGTGCGAGTTCACATGTCAAGACATTGTTGACTATCGCCATCATTTCATGGCCGAGCACGGTGTGGACGGAGCAGACAGTCTACTGGGAGAGAGTCAGTTTAGTACTATGAATGAAGGCTGGAAGATGTCCAAGATCAGGGACACTTTACCAGGTGAGCTTTCTATACAGATACCCGGTAGCAACACATTTCACTACCGCTCCTACCAGTGCTTCTAAGATGATACAAACCCTGATGGGTTTACCAAGTGACAACGGACAATACTAAATAACTCCCCGAATGTAGATATTTAAAATACTATTATTTATAGTATCTTAGAGGGATGTTTTACCGGGTGCAACTTCGACATAAAGAGAGGTCGAGTTAACGGTGGTTGTATTGTCGTGTTTGTCTTTCACGAATTCCCGTCTCTTGGAAGCTCTGGTATTTCGGAGTTGTTAGAGTGAAATGTGATATATATGTGTGTGTACAATGCTTAATGTGTTGTCGACGCTTAGAAAATAGGATCATTCCTACAACGTCTGAACTCGGTCTCCCCGATCTCACGTATACTTGTTATGTATAGAAGCCGTGGATACGTCCACGTCAGCCCCGCATGTATTGTATTGTGTTCACTCAAAACATTGTCCCAGATTTTTATTTTCTATTTATTTCTTGTACACGAAGTGAATATTATTACCGAGTGCTTGTCACTTCTATGTATATTATGAAATGTTCATATCTCAGGCGTTATCAATGTGCATATGTTCTATGAACGCAGTCCTGATAATAATAATAATAATAAGCATAATAATTCCTTATCAGTTTGTATTATTTTATTGCTATTTATTTTTATCATTTGTCATTTTGCCATTTTATGATACTCACGAATAAACTATTTAAATCTAACATTCTTTTATAATTTGTGTAAAATTTCATTTATTAGGAAGTGACATTCTCGTCAGGAATTCTTGTTGTCTAATAGTTCGGAGCTAGGCCACGAACACTTATGAACATATGGTTAGAATTTATCGATGGAGCGGGTCTGGTTGGAGATGGGTGTGCATTTAACACAGGGTTAGTTTGTGTGGAATAGTCGGAACTATATACTTATTATAGGGTATCCAATTTCTCTCTCATTTTAAACGGAAAATATATTATAGCGGTGGTAGAAGAGATAATTCATGGTTAGTTCATGTGTATGTGATTGGGAGTTACTGTTATAATATGTATCTGTGCATGCAACAGAATTCACCGTGGCGCAATAAGCAGGTTTTCAATGTCGCTTTGAATGATGCGACACTCTGTAAAGGAATACGTGTTTTCATAGCATGTGCTATTATTTGTTCTACCTGGATTCTATTCAAAAGCGTTTCAACCAGTATGAATGATCACCTTCTCTTGCAACGTTTCTATGAAGATTGTAAATATAGGGGACGAACTTTTCCATTTACCAAAGAAATCTTGTTAGAAGCACACCCGACTGTACTGGTAATGGTGCCGGGTTTTTGGAAAACCAAACCAAGCTTATTAACCAAGCAAAGCTCTTCCTGATTCTATATTGCCATTAGGTCCCAGGGCTATTTCGTCGATGGCGTTAAAAGATATGGAACTACTATTGTAGCCATTTAAATATTATCAACAGGAATATCCCCGTGTCACGTGATCAATATGTCAACTCCCCCAACGTTTTCTGAAATCCGTTAAATCATGGTGACAATTTGCACCAGAAAACTAAATGGAATATGATCATGATTATACAGTGAACGTGCTGAGCTTGTAGTTTAGCATTGCGTGTGTATATATGCATGGTCTGAGAGTAGTCTTCAAGTGTAGCGAGACACAGTGTAGGTAGTGGGGTGTGTCACTGTGTGTAGGGCAATCTGGTATCTCAGACAACATGACGCGGATCTCAACACACCATTACAGGTGGCACGCGTGTGTGCACAGCGTACAGATAACGAACCAGGTGATCTATATGAAACCGATGGCGGAGAGTAGGTGGATGGGTGACCGGCAGCTTCACTACCCTACACTACAGCACATGTTATCTAGGTAGATTGCTGTTAATCTTCTGGCCATAACAGACAGAATTGGTCTAATGCTCCCCAACTGATCCATTGCCCAGGGTCATAATATTAAGCTTTGAAACTGCACGTTATGCAAGAAGTTCAGCGCACAGATTTACGTTCACATATTTATTATTAGCGGTGTGGTAGTTTTGTGGTTGTAGTGTTCGCTTGCCATGCCGAAGGTCTTGGTTCGCTTCCTTACAGATGTTTGTCTCCAGCGTCGTGTTCTTGCTGGAATACTCAACTGAAAGACTAAGTCCCATCGACATACAGTGGCCCGTACCACACAAACTCGAGATGACCCATACAACCCAATATCACATATATCACATACTGCCCTGTACCAGCAGCACACGATAGCCAATATCACACACTGACCTATACCAGAACACGATGACCTATAGGACACACTGACCTATACCAACACACGATGACCTATATCACACACTGACCTATATCCACACACGATGACCTATATCACATACTGACCTATACCAACACACGATGTCCTATATCACACACAGTGACCTATATCCACACACGATGTCCTATATCACACACTGACCTATACCACACACTGACCTATATCCACACACGATGTCCTATATCACATACTGACCTATACCAACACACGATGTCCTATATCACACACAGTGACCTATATCCACACACACATACTGACCTATACCACTGACCACCAACACGATGACCTATATCACACACTGTGACCTATATCCAGGACACACACTATACCAACACACGATGTCCTATATCACACACCTGACCTATACCAACACAATATGTCCTATGTCACACACAGTGACCTATATCCACACACGATGTCCTATATCACACACTGACCTATACCAACACACGATGTCCTATATCACACACAGTGATCTATATCACACACTGACCTATACCAACACACGATGACCTATATCACACACAGTGACCTATATCCTATACGATGTCCTATATCACACACTGACCTATACCAACACAAGACGTCCTATATCACATACTGACCTATATCACACACTGGCCTATACCAACACGATGTCCTATATCACACACTGACCTATACCAACACACGATGACCTATAGGACACACTGACCTATACCAACACACGATGACCTATAGGACACACTGACCTATATCCACACACGATGACCTATATCACATACTGACCTATACCAACACACGATGTCCTATATCACATACTGACCTAAATCACACACGATGACCTATATCAGACCACAATGTCCTATATCACACACTGACCTATACCAACACAAGGCGTCCTATATCACATACTGACCTATATCACACACTGACCTATACCAACACGATGTCCTATATCACACACTGACCTATACCAACACAAGATGTCCTATATCACACACTGACCTATATCACACACTGACCTATACCAACACAAGATGTCCTATATCACACACTGACCTATATCACACACGGACACAACACGATGTCCTATATCACACACTGACCTATACCAACACGATGTGCTATATCACCAACCTGACCTATATCACACACTGACCTATACCAACACGATGTCCTATATCACACACTGACCTATACCAACACGATGTCCTATATCACACACTGACCTATACCAACACGATGTCCTATATCACACACTGACCTATACCAACACGATGACCTATATCACACACTGATGTATACCTACGCACGATGACCTACATCACGCTGACCTATACAAACACGGTGACCTATGTCACATACTGACAAACTGTCTTTATTACGTACAATTATGTCATAATATTATCGTGTGGTTTTGAGAATAAATAGAACGAGGAGTTGTAAGATTCTAGTGCGGAACCTTCGACAGACGACATTCATTTACAGAGATGATGCCAAACATGGTTTCATACACTTTCACAGAAACGGATAACAGCTGCGACACACACCATTGTAACAAAACACACATGTTATCATACACAACTACACACAGTCTTACACTACCACACACAGTCTTACACTACCACACACATCCATACACTACCAGACACAGCCATACACTACCACACACAGTCTTACACTACCACACACATCCATACACTACCAGACACATCCATACACTAACACACAGTCTTACACTACCTCACATGTCATACACTAACACAGACAATTTTATGACCATCACCCATATTGCCATACACGTCCGCACAACGCATGAACACACACAATACCACACACTACCGCTCACAGTGTCATATATTGTCGTACCCTACCACACAACGCGATTCAGTGCCGCCCTACACTACCACACAATGTCATCCACTATCACACACAGTGTCATACCCTAACACGGTCATACACTGCTACACAATGTCATGCACTATCACACACAATGTCATACACTGTCGCGCACAATGCCATACACTACCACACAATGTCATACTGTCACACACAATGCCATACACTGTCACAAACAATGTCATACACTGCTACACAATGTAATACATTATCACACACAATGCCATACACTATCATACACAATGTCATACACTGTCACACACAATGTCATACACTGTAACACAAAATGTCATACACTATCACACACAATGTCATACACTGTCACACACAATGCCATACACTGTCACACACAATGTCATACACTATCATACACAATGTCATACCTTGTCACACACAATGCCATACACTGTCACACACAATGTCATACACTATCACACACAATGTCATACACTTTCACACACAATTTCACACCCTAACACGGTCATACACTGCTACACAATGTCATACGCTATCACACAATGTCATACCAAACACACAATGTCATACACTAGCAGACACTATGCGATCCACTTCAACATGTTATACACCATCCCACCCAGTGTCATACACTAGCAGACACTACGCGATCCACTACAACATGTATACACCATCCCACCCAGTGTCAACACAATGCCACTCGCTGTCACACGATGTGATACAATACCACCCAAAGTGATACCCTACAACACAATTTCATAAAAGACAAGTAAATAGGCTTTTAACGTTCTCTGCGTACATGGATATCACAAAAACTATAC